ATACCCAGTCGATCCCCTGAAATGATGGAAGGTGGACAAGAAGCCCTTGTTCTCTTAATTAAAGCCTTCACCAACATCGCTGCTCAACAATGCCACGACCGCTCTTTGCGTCCTATTATCAATGGTCTGCAATCTCCCCACCCTGACCACTCCTTACAGATGTTTGTTCTTCACAACGACATCTTGCACCGCTACAATGCCCGCCCCGATGGTGCTAAGCTTTTGCTCGTTGTTCCTACGCATTTTCGCTCAGATGTTTTGGCCCAGCTTCGTGATGCACCTACCTCTGGACACCTAGGGGTGTCACGCACGTATGACCACGTTTGCCGATGATTTTTTTGGCCTGGCCTCGACCGTTCTGTGCGACAATACGTTGCGGCGTGCAACCTCTGCCAGTGCCACAAGACACCTGCTCTGGAACCTGCTGGTACCCTCCAGCCCATTGAAATATCAGATGAGCTATTTTTATGAGTTGGCCTCGATCTTGTAGGACCTTTTCCCGCGTCGGCCACTGGTGATAAGTGGATTACCATCGCTACCGACTACGCAACGCGTGATATGCCTTTACACGAGCTCTCCCCACCAGCTCCGCTACTGATGTAGCCGATTCCAATCTTCATGACATCATTCTGCATCATGGTGCTCCTCGTCAGTTAATCATTGACCGTGGCCGCTGTTTTCTATCTAAAGTAGTCGACAAGCTCCTGCGATCCTGCTCTACCCACCACCAGTTAACTACAGCGTACCATCCACAAACTAACGGCCTCACCGAACGCCTCAATTGTACCCTGACAAATATGTTAGCAATGTACGTCTCCAAGGAGCACAAATATTGGGACATCCACTTACCTTTCGTTACCTTCGCATACAACTCTTCACGTCATGATACAGGTGGATTTTCACCTTTTTACCTACTGTTTGGTTATGATCCGCCTTTACCAATGGGCACCCTGCTCCATTCTGACACCACCTCATCGACTGCCTATGCTCGTGATGCCCTGGCCTGTGCTGACATCGCCCGCCAAGTCGCTTGGAATCGTTTATATGCCTTGCAGCTTAGCCAAAAGTGTGCTTACGATCGTTGGCACCGCGACGTACAGTACTCCCCAGGATCGCTAGTCTTAATGTGGTTACCATCATGACGTGTCGGTCTCTGCGAAAAACTCATGTCCTGTTACGTTGGCCCTTACCCAGGGGCGGCGCCAGGGTGGGCAAGGGTGGGCTGGAGCCCCCCCGAAATTCTCGCCTGCCCCCCCTATATGCCCACCCAAGTGCCCGGAAGCATATATTGAAAACCTAGTAGGAGCAGAGCTAGCTTGCCCCCCCGGAGGAACTCACTTTTCGTGGTTGCCCCCCCAGTAAAAACATCCTGGCACCGCCCCTGCCCTTACCGCGTCATACGCAAGGTCACCAGTGTGACCTATGAGATTGCTCCACTCAATACCACGTCAGCAACAGCTTCAGTCCCGACCAATATAGTGCATGTCTCGCGACTTAAACCATACTACTCCCGCCCCGAGGATTGATCGCACCTGCACGGTGATTCTGCCGCTGGCGGGTAATGTCGCAGGCTGTGTAGATACCAGAGAATGACGACGACAAAGTGCTGAGGGGAACGTGCACGGACTGCAGCAGCGTTGTACGCATTTGCTCGCCAATATATTTATCGCGTATACTTTATTCCCCCTTAACAATATATATATATATATAAATCACAGGAAGGGAAGAGCTTGCAGTAAATGAATTTGAGAGGTACTATAGGCGTCAAATGGAACCCATACAGCGGCAAGCCTTCGTGGTGGTTTATTGTGCGCCGTCCGTTTATTACCATGAACAGGCATGCATATATGCCCAGAGCTGTTGAACAGGACGCGCCTGTCAATCGTGGTAACTGGACGGCGCGCATTGTACCATTGCAAAGGCTTACCACTGTTTGGGTTTCATTTTAAGCAGATAGTACATTGAAATTTCATTGTCTTAATTGTAAGAGAACAATAATTATGTTTCTCAATGATTGTCAAGAAAAAGAAACATGAAAATAAGTTGAGGAAAGAACATCATCCTCAAAACTGAGATATGAAACGCCCCTCAACTTCAGCATTTTACAAATACTGTTAAACCCCCTTATAAGAGGCATGCCCTAAGTGGCAATTCTTTATATGAGATCACTCTTATAAGCAGGGCACTTTGTAACCATTTTCTTATCAACCCTTATTTTACTATAGGCACAGTGATGTCTCTTATACCCATTTGTCTCTTATATTAGTGTTTCTTATAAAGGAGTTTGACTATACTTAAGTTAATACAACCTAGCCTTGCAGGCATTAAATATCTTCATGTACACCACGGTGTCCAGAGTGTAAATTGTCGGGCAAAACTGTCGTGACAAATAATCATGCCGCAGTGAAATGGAGGCAGATGGAAATATTCATGTCAGTCTACATGACAGATCAGCCTATCAAGCACTGAATTTCTTTTGCCTGTGAAGTGGCAATAAAGGTAGAAAACTAGTCATTTTGAACATTAGCTAGCTGACAGGTGTGGTGGTACAAAAGCTTCTTTCCGTGGCTGTGCTATTATATTCTGTCTTTGCTTTACAAAAGACTGTAGGCTTCTGGTAAGGAAAACGTTACTAAAATGATCTCTTCCTGAAATTTTTTCATTTAGTTTCCGTACAAAAACACATTCTAAATGCTCAGCTCTTGCTTTGACAGATGTGATTAGTCAAGCAGCAATGATTTCTTTTGCAGTTGCAGCCCTGAAATAGCACAAATTATACTGAACTGCTTAGATTTTTCTTTTTTTGTTTTTGTTATTTACAAGAACGACCTCCTGTTTCCATCACTGTCATTCCTGCTTAATACTCATCCAAACCTCGATCTGTGCACAGGCCACCTTCACGTCGGCTGCACCTCTTCCAATCGCCCTTACTTCCCCTTTGGCGTGCTCTGCTACGGAAATGTCTACCACGGAGGAGCCTCTTTTCAGTACAAACTTAGATCTCTAAAAGTTAACATGAGCAACAAAGAAATGATTCCAGCTTTGCTCAAGTGTGCTGGAGCCATAGATCGGCACACTAATTAACGAGTTCACTTACTCATACTATAAGTTTGAGTCGGGGTAGGTTCGGGTGAGTAATATTTTGGTGAGTTTGAGTCTCAGCGAGTCCGGTTGAGGTAAATATTGGTGAGCTTGAGTGTGGGTGAGCCCTGAGCGTAAAATATATTTCGTGAATGGGTCTCAGTGAACTCCACCTTTAAATGCCGACCCATCATCCTATCTACTCATCGTCAGCATTATTATCAATGTTATATCGGCTTAAGTTTGTAGTGAAGTCTTTTCACAGATATCTCAACAACACACTACCTCATATTTGTTGATCGAAAACATGGGTTGGGGATTGGGTTAGGGGTTCCATAACTTTTCCCCACAAACTCGGGAAGTTCTTGATGAAGATATCTTCTGCGAGTCGCGTGTTTCTTAAGTATGTACTTATTGAAACCAATGATAACTCGTATTTGAAGGTAGAAGATATAGACGTACCATAGAGGGCCAGTTGCATGAGGCACTGGCATTAAAGATCGTTGGAACCAAGATTGAAAAACTTAAGTTCATGCTAACGAACTCATGAGTTGACTCACTCGGACACAGGTGAAGCCATGAGTCTGAGTGAGTCCTGTCGAATAATAGGTTTGTGAGGTGGCGTCCAAGTGAGTCTGGTTGAGGAAAAATTTTGGTGAGTCTTAAGCGCACGCGAGTCCTCAGAGCAAAATATATTTCTTGAGTGAGTGTGAATGAGCTCCAGTTTCTTTGCCAACCTATGACTGGAGCTGTTAAATATTTAAACTAACCTGTACTCAATCAAGTGGTACTTTCCCCAGCTCTGTTGTCTTAAGAGATGCAAAGCGATTGAAGAAGTATCAGATTGAGATTTCTGACTTGTAATTTTATTTAGTTAAACAAACAATTACTACAGACCTTAGAAAAAATTATGCAAGTAGCTGATTGTCTCGGAATTCAGGAGCCAAATGTGTTGCATTTGTTATTTATTATTCATTAGGTACCTGCGTCGGCATCAGCAGGCTTCACAATAGGGGGTATACGCATCGTAAGTCAACAGCCGTTGATATTAAGCATGATAACATTCATTACATTGTATTTCTACAATATCTTACAGAGGAGCGTTCCACTCGTTCATGGTCTTACAAAAGAATGAATAGCTGAAAGTGTCACCTTCGAAGGAAATTCACGAACTTTCAAGGCATGGTCCCTTCTATGCGAAATATATTATGGCAGTTTGATGTATTTGATCCTTATGTGCCTGTTACACTGCGAAAAAATTTCAGTCTCAGGAGGTTCTGTCTTTTTAAGTCTTGCCAGTGAAGAGCTCACTTACCTTCAGTGGTACTGAGGCTACTGTCATACATTCCCAAGGCAAATCAGACAGCCCTCTTCTTAACTGTTCATTTTGATGTCAGGACACATTAGCTTACCACTGTTGCCACACGGAAGCACTGCCAGAAGTGCACTTTTGCCCGTCCGAAGACATTTTGCCTCCATGCAGCACCTTTATTTTTTACAAGCAACAACACTTTACGATGTTTTGTTGCTGCCTAATGTTGGAAAATTTTTGGCGCATGTCATGACAGTCCTTAATGCCATATTTCCGAAAACCCTCCACTTGCAAGTTCGGTCTGATTAAATAACAATTTTTCAACCATAACACTTGTCAAGCATCATTATTTCGTGTAGTGGTGATTTTGCGGTGGCAAAACTTGTTAGGACCAGCATTAGCTTTTTACCCTCCACCTTGTTTTACAATGTCCTTCCAAGCTTAGACATCGTCCTGAAAATGTCTGTTAATTTTGCTTTAATTTAACTATTTTAGTAATTAGCTGTTAGTGGCTGTATCAGACTCAGTTGCAGTAAAGCACTCTGCTTAGCACAACCATGAATTTCCACTTTGTATAAGTAACACAATAAATGGCAAATGTAAGCAATGTCATTGTGCAAATAAATTTTATGTCGTATTTTTTTACATTTACTGGGCCACAAAAGATATGCAGCACAGTGGATTCATCTTACAGATACGAGTGAATACTTCAGTATTACTCCCCAACTTTTTTTGCCTGCTTTGCATCCTTCTTTTTTGCTTTTTTGGGAGAGCCACCTCCAAGCTGGAAAATTTTTTTCTGGAGCTTTTGCTGTGCCTTCTGTCGTATCTGCTTTTTCAGCTTCTTTTTCCTTTTTGTGAGATGTTCAGCCTGAGAGCCCTTAAAGTTTACACCCTCCAACGACTCCTGAGCCTTCTTTGCTCTCCGCTGGAAGGGAGATCTCTGCTGAATGGTTTTTTTGGGCACAGCCTGTTTCGAAAATGGTGATACCCTGATGGGCCTTCCCGACACTTCCCGGCCAGTCATTTCCAAGGCGAGTGCGGCTCCATCCATTTGCTTGAAAGTGACAAAGCCAAAACCTTTGCCCATGCCAGTTACCTTGTCTCTCACAAGACGCACAGCAACTACATCACCGCACTCTGCAAATAACTTCCAAAGTTCCTCATCTTGAACTTCGTGTGCCAGATTTCCAACAAAGACCGTTTGCTTCTCACTCACTTGTGACTTGGGGGCACCAACGCAGTCCACTCTGATATGGTTGCCGAAGAGTACACTACCATTCAAGGTAAGAGCTTGGTTGACTGCTTCCTTTGTCTTGAATACGACGTAAGCATTCACAGTCTGCTTGTTCGAATGCAACGCTTTGCTGATGAAGGCGACTTTCTTGCTGAGACTCTCTTTAGCAGGGACTATAGACCGGAATCGAATGCTCTCAATAATCCCGTACTTTGAGAACACTTGTCGCACAGCTTTCTGGGTGGCAGTTCCTGGTACATTACCGACGAAAACGGTTCTCTCGTCCTTGTCCGGCGTGTCCGGATGCCGCACTTTCTTCTCCCGCCGAGTTTCATTCTGAGTGACCACGTCGGAATGGTCTGCGTCGTCTTGCTTGCGTCGTTTAAGTGGCTGCATTGGCTTAGAACCACCATCTCCGTTGTCCACGTTATCACTCGGTACCTTCCTTTTGAACTCATTTTCTTTCTTCTTGTTTTGCAGAAGTCTCGTAGAATTCTGGCTGTTATCCTTACTACTGCCCCTCACACTCTCCTCGATGGGTGCTTGTTCATCGCTGTCCGATTCGTCGGTGCTGCCTTCACTGCATACGAGCTCGCTTTCGGCTAGTTCAGCACATTTTTCTCGAGCACGAGGTAACAGCTCACCATGAAGGCGTCTTCCAAGTCTGCGCTCGCGTCGCGACGCCTTTACCGGCGGTAACGCAGCTTTGCTCTGGAACTCCACATAACGAAGTGTTGGCTTAGCCTTTTCCTTGGTATTTGCAGATGTCCCCGCAACGCCGGAAGTCGAAGCATTTCTGGCGTTGATAAGATCGGCTATCGCACCGATCGTGTACATAATTACTGCACTGTTTCGATGGCTCAAAGGTTGTCGCACGTGTGTACGGCGTGAACGATAAAAACAGACGAGGGGGCTGCCATGTTCTTGTACAGCGTTGCTAGCTCTTATAGGCCGCCGTCGTCAAAACGACGTTTCAATGTTTGCCGAAATTAAAAAAGACAATTACCGTAATATAAAGGTAACAAAGTCTTATTTGGTAAAATAAATGAATATAAAGCGTTTCATTTTAACGCATGTTTAAACATAATTATAAATTAAAGCTCTCGTTTCACATTTAGAAACAGTTATCTCTTAATATTCGCAGCAGATCTCTAAGGCAATATTACAAAAACTAGATCCAACGAACCACGTGCAACAAACTATCTACCATTTTGTGAAAAAAAAAAAACAGCAAAGTATTGCTTTTAGCGTTTTTAGTTCTCACGAAGAGATGGCAGCACCATTCTGAGAAAAAAATTGCTGGCAGTTTTAAAGTCTCGACAATTTATAAGTAGATGGCAGCACTGTCCCGTGCGATGACAGAGACCGTTTAGAAAGTGTTCATGGCAGGCTTCGCAGTGAAATGCGGTTAAGATTGATGTTAATATTGCTATTCAACTGCGATGGCAGTTGGTAATGCGCCTATGGTGTGGCTTGATCGATCTACTGTAGTGCTAGCCGAATAGGCACCAGAGAACGAAACAATCAGCACCTGCAGGAGTAATTTAGCATTAGCACGCGGTTGTTGCTGTTTACATGCTTTCCTTTTCTCTTTTCTCTCCTTTCGGTCTACTTCCATTCCATTCCTATCTCGTACTGTCCCTGCAGAAGTACGTAGAACACAAGAGAGCCGGGTATCGACGAACTGTAGTTGAGGATCGGCGAGGATCGGTGCATCCATAGGCCGGCGAGCTATTTTACGGGGGGGGGGGGGGGGGGGAGAGAGCTCAGAGGCTACGTGGTCCGACTGTTAAAAACAAATGAAGGAGAAAAAAATCCGCATATCCCAGAAATCAATTCCACGATATTTTATAAGACCACTTAATTCTTAGCAGGATCCTGCCCACGGCAAGTTATCTGTTCACCCACTTTTCTTCATATTTACTTTACAATTTGGTCTAATATATTCCCCTATACTTTCCTTCGCATTATTGTCTGTTAGATGTCATCATATATATATATATATAATGAGATCTAACAAACAATAACGCCAAGGAAAGTATAGGGGAAGTTCTGTGAAGAAAGAAAAGCGAGTGAAAAAAACTTGCCGCTTCCCCCACTTTTCACCCGCACTGACCGACTGCACCAGTGATAGCTAGATTAATTGGTTGATAATACGTCCATGGCGGCTTTTCTTCGCCAAAAAATACTTCGCATTCGAAAAACGAGGTGAATGCCATCACGACGACCATGCGAGAGCTATTGCCGTACAATCACTTATCACAGTTTCCGCCAAGGTTCTGATTGCCAGGCCTGGTGTTAATTTTAAAGATATCGCAGTCTCTACAAATATAGGGCAGCTGTCATTGCATGTAAACAGATAGCTCGTGTTGATTTTACTAGGCGCGGAAACTAATAGATCGCAGAGGCATTGAATGGCAACAGGCCCTGGTGCACTGATAGGCCACAAATCGCAGATGCTCAGAAAAGATACATGTACAGCCGACTCTAACTTGGAGTCTTTGGTTTCTGCCTCTATACAAGTAGTGCATAATACCATGGAGGGAGGAAAGAGTAAATTAAACATTTTTTTGCGTACTGCAAGCACTTTTGGCATCTATCTATCTATCTATCTATCTATCTATCTATCTATCTATCTATCTATCTATCTATCTATCTATCTATCTATCTATCTATCTATCTATCTATCTATCTATCTATCTATCTATCTATCTATCTATCTATCTATCTATCTATCTATCTATCTATCTATCTATCTATCTATCTATCTATCTAGCCGCCTACGTCAGGGTGCTCTCATGATCACCCCCTTGGCGTAAACCAAAATTAGTATGGGTGGGCAGAATGGTTTGACGAATACGAGTCGCTGGTCATGACAATAATATTGTTACAATCCCGTCGTGTACGTCGTCGAACACTTTCTTGTCAGGCAGTGGCTTGTCAGAACCGCGGGTGGGTATCTGCCACTGGTATGCGGGTATGTAACAGAGGCGCTCCTCTCACTACATTTTTCCCCACTGGCGCCAACTCCTCCTCCTCCTCCTCCTCCTCCTCCTCCTCCTCCTCCTCCTCCTCCTCCTCCTCCTCTTCTTCTTCTTCTTCTCTTCTTCTTCTTCTCTTCTTCTTCTTCTTCTTCTTCCTCTTTCCTATACCTTTACCTCTACCCTTTTATCCCTCCTTACCCCCATCCATTTGTGAGCTCTGTGGCGGTGTCGCTCACTGAAGCAGACAATAACGGGGCTCACTTTTCTCTTCCTTTCTCTTAAGAACCACTCCGTGTAAATGTGATTGACAGTTTATATCAACCAAGGAACGGCGTGAACATACATGGGTAAATCTATTTGGAGAGTGTTCATAAATATCAGTGCATCTCCACGAAGTGATTGACAACGACTGGGTGAAGCTATAGGTCCTAAGGCTCATAATATACGTTTAAATCGTCGACTTGTATGAAGGACGGGCATATGGATGGATGGACAGACAGGTGGACGAATGCACGGATAGTAAAACGCACGGATGGACAGATATATGAAAGAGTAGGTGGACGGACGGACAGATGTCAGAAAGGTCATAGCATCCCCGCCCACCCCTTCCTTCCTTGTTCACGTATCGGATCAATAAGTATTGAGGTGGCGCATGAACAATATATAGTGCGTTGAGATATGTGTGAATAGGTTTCATGCTGATATATAGGACCATAATGTCGGCAATAAAAGGTGAATGTTACTGAGACTCACTCAAGAAATATATGTCGTGCTCAGTGTTCACTCAGTCTCAAATTGGCCAATATTTTACTCAACCGGATTCGCACTCACGAGAATTTTCTTGAACCACCAGACTAACTCGGACTCGATCTCATCAAAATATTACTGTCCCGGACTATCTCAGACTCATGGCTTGATCTGAATCTGAGTGATTCTAAGTGAGTCAACTCATGACTGAATTCGCCGACCTATGCATATAGTTGGAGTGTGCGAATAGGGAATTTTAGAACCGAATCAAATACGAATCGGCTACTACTCCAATAATTTTCGAATAATAAGACAACCATCTTCAAAGAGCTTGGGAATTCCATAACATTATATGTACAACAAATATTCACAGACTGCAGGAAGGAAACGTTACGATTACTTTTAAGTAACAAGAACTTTTACAATTATGTTGACTGAGGTAAACTCGTATACATCAGTGACTAGAGCGGCATATTTCGTTACTATAAATTCAAATGCAGCAGTGACTACAGTATTCAAGTTGCCATGCAAGCCGGAGTGGAGTATTTGCAGCAATCGAGCAAGTTGCCACGCAAGCAAGTTGAATACTTGCTTGCGTGGCAAGCAAGTATTCTACCACAAGGCCACGCCAAGTCTCGCAACTCGTGAAGCGCCGATTGGGGATGCAGTGATGGCTATCCAATCGTATAAACTTTACAATGTATCCCCGCGATACAGCCGTCACGTCGGGTTTAAGATGAAGTGTAAATGTGATGGACGCTCCCTGGATTTCGTGCCGACCGGTTGTGCGCCCGCGCGCTCCGCGCGCTCGCGACCTTCGGCGTCATCGTAGCTCTGGCCGACTGAGCTGGCCCTACGTCACCTCCTGTCGCCGGCTGTCTTCGGTGACAGCGCAGCTCTGACCTACTGGACCTGCTCTACGCCATCTACAGACGCCGACAACATCTCTCGCAAGTGTACCCCGTCCTCGGACTCCAGTGACCGTTCTTCCATCTTTCCTGTCTCTCCTATCCCCTCAGTTTGTTGTTGCTTCTTGTTCCTCTTTCCTATACCTTTACCTCTACCCTTTTATCCCTCCTTACCCCCATCCATTTGTGAGCTCTGTGGCGGTGTCGCTCACTGAAGCAGACAATAACGGGGCTCACTTTTCTCTTCCTTTCTCTTAAGAACCACTCCGTGTAAATGTGATTGACAGTTTATATCAACCAAGGAACGGCGTGAACATACATGGGTAAATCTATTTGGAGAGTGTTCATAAATATCAGTGCATCTCCACGAAGTGATTGACAACGACTGGGTGAAGCTATAGGTCCTAAGGCTCATAATATGCCTACGTTTAAATCGTCGACTTGTATGAAGGACGGGCATATGGATGGATGGACAGACAGGTGGACGAATGCACGGATAGTAAAACGCACGGATGGACAGATATATGAAAGAGTAGGTGGACGGACGGACAGATGTCAGAAAGGTCATAGCATCCCCGCCCACCCCTTCCTTCCTTGTTCACGCATCGGATCAATAAGTATTGAGGTGGCGCATGAACGATATATAGTGCGTTGAGATATGTGTGAATAGGCTTCATGCTGATATATAGGACCATATGGCGGCAATAAAAGGTGAATGTTACTGAGACTCACTCAAGAAATATATGTCGCGCTTAGTGTTCACTCAGTCTCAAATTGGCCAATATTTTACTCAACCGGATTCGCACTCACGAGAATTTTCTTCAACCACCAGACTCACTCGGACTCGATCTCATCAAAATATTACTGTCCCGGACTATCTCAGACTCATGGCTTGATCTGAATCTGAGTGATTCTAAGTGAGTCAACTCATGACTGAATTCGCCGACCTATGCATATATTTGGAGTGTGCGAATAGGGAATTTTAGAACCGAATCAAATACGAATCAGCTACTACTCCAACCATCTTCAGACAAAGACAACCATCTTCAAAGAGCTTGGGAATTCCATAACATTATATGTACAACAAATATTCACAGACTACAGAAAAGAAACGTTACGATTACTTTTAAGTAACAAGAACTTTTACAATTATGTTGACTGGGGTAAACTCGTATACATCAGTGACTAGAGCGGCATATTTCGTTACTATAAATTCAAATGCAGCAGTGACTACAGTATTCAAGTTGGCAGTTTGTCACTAGCCTGGAAATAAAACTGGGGCATAATA